GCAGAAGACGGCATACGAGATAATCCGTCGAGATCGGTCTCGGCATTCCTGCTGAACCGCTCTTCCGATCTCTGTTATTAATATTATTTAGTATTATTGTTATTTGTATTTTTATATAATAATAATAATAATAATAATAATAATAATATTGTAATAATAATAATTATTTTTGTAATATTATCATTATTAATTATTACTTATTTATTTACTAATTATCATTATTGTTATCATTACTATTCTTCGTTATTATTATTACTATTATTAGTATTATTATCATCATCATCATCATCATCCTTATTATTATTAGTAGTATTGTTATTATTATTATCATTTTATAATATGTAAGAATGCAGATTGTGTTCAGAATATATAGTCTACTTATAGTATAAAAATGGGAAGTCCCCAATAAGATAGCAGAACCAGTTTGTCTGTTTGTGTGTTCCTTCACTTTATTATGATAGTATAGTAATAATAATATTATAATATTATTAAGAAATTCGCAATAGCAGACACTTTTGACCTCATGGGGACACGACAAAAATAATTAGAAGTGAAAAAATATATATTTAAGAATGATCTCAAAGTCTATGGGTTTTTAATGGTGTGTTAAGTAAGCAGATGTGAAGCAACTGCACCTCCAAAAACCTCAACAACAAAAAAGAATCATTAGAAATGCATGGCTGATGTGTATATTTAATGAAACGTCTGAGCAACTGACAGATAAAACCTTCATCTGTTCTTCCCATTTCGCAATCCACTGTTTTGTGCCAGCAGCTAGCTCTCTGCAACTCTCACATGGTTGCCCACTGAAGCTAAGTCGGGCTGTGCCTGGTCAGTACATGGATGGGAGACCACATGGAAAAGCTTGGTTGTTGCCAGAAGTGATGTTAGTGAGACCAGCAGGGGGGCGCTCAACCTGAGGTCTGTGTGGGTCGTAATGCCCCAGTATAGTGATGGGGACTGCTCAGTGAGCACCGTTAAACCGAGGTCCCGCAGGACCTGACTCTCTGTGGATGTAAAAAATCCCAGGATGTCCTTCAAAAAAAGAGTAGGGGTTTAACCCTGGCGTCCTGGCCAAATCTGCCTACTGTCTATCACGGCCTCCTAGCCGTCCCTATACAATCAGCTGGTGTGCGGTCTGGCGCAATATAGCTGCCGTCGCATCATCCGGGTGGAAGCTGGACACTGGTGGTGGATGAAGAGATTCCCCTCAAACATTGTGTCCAGAAAAGCGCTATATAAACGTACGGAAATAATTATATTATTCATTATTATTGTTTTGCTCCCATAAAAAAAGCTAATAAATCACACAGAATGAAGTATTTAGAAAACGTAAAATTGCAGGAAACTAGAATGCTATTGGGAGTGGTGTAGGGTTTGCATACAGGATACAAGACTCATCAACAATGTATGTGTAGCAACAATGCATGTGTGTGTGCTGTCTTAAACAGCCCATGAATCAGTCCATGAGCAGCTTCAGCCGTGAGTGTCTAATCAGTGGAGACTTGGAGCAGGTGTGTGTGTTGCATGACTGAATCTGTAGTTCGTTATGAGGTAGGATTGTAGTTTGTGTGAATGTGAATGTTTTCCAGCAATCTATGGTGGTTAGATCGCTGGTGATCAAACAGCTACAAAGGCTTAAGGCAGTTATGAAGGCAAAAGTTGGTCCAACTTTGTACTAGTAAGGTGTACTAGGGGATTCAAAATTAATTGTTTCTTCGGTGCACCGCGATGCAGACGCGGACAATAAGGTATCGGTTCAGTAATAAGCATAACCGGTTATTATGTACTGACGTCATTTATCTTCTATGCGCTCTGTCGCGAGGGAGCTGAGCACGAGTATTTACAACACTCAGCTAACTCAGGGCCGGTCCGTGGCATAGGCACCATAGGCAAATGCTAAGGGCGCTGTATATCCAGGGGGACGGCAGAAATGAGCGCGGTTCAGTCGGTTTTGTTTTTGATATTCCCGACACACATTCAGTTATAGACGGCATTAACTCAAAAACCTCTTACCCTAAAAAGATCTTAAGTGTGTTTCCTACAAAAAGACAAAGCTGGTTATGTTTCACAGCTGTCTTTAAAAAATAAATAAATAAATAAATAAATAAAAATAAAATAAAATTGCCTGTACATTTAACGATTAACATTCAACCTTTAAAGATTAAAACAGTGATAATAAATAATAATAATCGATATATTTACAATGATTCATGATTTAATGATTATATCTCTCTCTCTCTCTTTCTCTCCCTCTTTCTTTTTCTCATTCTCCGAATTGAGCCATCAATCTGAGTGTGTTTACTTCACCTCAAACTAATTGTCTTTAAGTGTCCATTTTTTTCCCTCTCCTTCAATTTTGGCCCTGGCAGAAGCGATCGATCTCTAGAGGGATCGACTCCCGTTTCTCCGGCTCATCCTCGTCCACACCCAGTTGGACTCATATTCTCCTTCACAGCATTTCATTGGACTCCCACTTTACTGAAAAGCCGCTGAAAACGCGTCGGCAGAATGAAAAGCGCAGTGAACGGCTGCTTACGGTCTCTCTCTCCGCTGAGGAATTACAGCCAATAAAACCTCCAGCTCAGACGCAGGGAGCAAACGCTGAATGAATTACAGCCGCTTCCGTATGGGATCCTATACAGCGCAATGCCTACAGGAAAGAGCTTGTGAAATGTTATGTAATTTACTTTCGCATTTTATTGGGTTGCAAGCCGAGGGATATTTCACCTCGTGGCATATATGAAGCCATTACTGCGAGAGGCCTGCGGGTGGGAGGTTTGCGAAACAAAAAAAAAAAAAGATGTGCGTTTTTTTTCTGACTGACTCTGAATATTCAAGAGTTTTTGTTAAAATTAAAATGAAGGAAGGAATAAATAAATAAATAAATAAGAAAGAAAGAAGGCTAAAATTAAGGAAAAAAGGGAAAAGACAAAAAAGAAAGAAAGAAAGAAAGAAAGAAAGAAAGAAAAAAAGAAAGAAAGAAGGCAAAAATTAAGGAAAAAAGACAAAGAAGAAAGAAAGAAAGAATTAAGGAAAAAAGGAAAAAAAGACAAAGAAGAAAGCAAGAAAGAAAGAAAGAAAGAATGAAAGAAAAAGTAAGAAAGAAAGTAAAAAAACAAAGTCAAAAAAGAAAGAGAAAGTAAAAAAAGAAAGAAAAAAAAGAAAGTCAAAAAAGAAAGAAAAAACGAATGAAAGAAGGAAAGAAAGTAAGAAAGAAAGTATATAAAATATTTCCCTTTTTTCCTTAATTTTTGCCTTCTTTCTTTCTTATTTATTTATTCCTTCCTTCATTTTAATTTTAACAAAAACTCTTGAATATTCAGAGTCAGTCAGAAAAAAAAACGCACATCTTTTTTTAAAAATATATAATAGCGCTGTCAAAATTAACGCGTTAACGCAAGCGATTAATTTCAAATAATTAACGCGTTAAAAAAAATTACGCAATTAACGCAGTTGCAGGTTTTTTTTACTTCCTGTTGTGGTGGACGTGTGTCATGCAATAAATGTGGATAAGACCAAGGAAGCACTTTTTGAAGGCAAGTTCCAGTATAAAACAATTAGTTGCATCACAAGTTATCCAGAGTTTCATGCAATTTCGGGTGTTTAATTTTTTAACTCTCTGTTGTAAGTTGATACCGCATGGCGAACAGAAAGAAAATCCTCCGCATTTCGTGACTCGGTGTTCCTTTAAGGTAAGGTTCCTTTGAAGGCTACACGGTAGAATTTTAATTAGAGTATTATCTTAATCATATTAAAATCGGAGGATTGGTGTCTTATGTAAATGTACTCAGAACGTCTGGTGAAGTCGCGAGCTGTCAAAGACAAGGCATTACTCTGCCTTTCAGCATGAGCCCTCCAAGTTTAGCGTGTTTCCTCATTAAACACAACGAAAGCGTATGCTTCGCGCTGTTGTGTCAGAACAGTGAAATACAGTAATACTTTAGGACGCTTAGTTTAGGACGCTTAGCAAATTTGATGAACGTGATCATGCGTGTTGAATCTGAGGGGAGTCGCTCCAGTATGGAAGGCCGTTGGGGCCAAAACGTCTGCAGCGCGTTGTGTGTGTCTGTCTGTGTGTGTGTCTGTGTCAGGCCCGTTGAAGGTGTGTCAGGGCTGGAGTGAGCGACGTATCTGAGTAGGGGCGAGAGTGGTGTGCAATGTATTTAACGACCGGTTTGCAAAAAATTATCATTCATTTGCGGGCATTTGGGAGTCTCTGTGCACTTGCATGTATGTAAAGGAGGATTAAGCAAAATTGTTTCTACTCTATAACTAATGTTCTCAACTCACAGCAATAAAACTTTACAATGAGTGCAACAGTTTGTATTCTATAGTTTATTATTATAATTTTTCATTCTCCATATCTGCGATGCCTGTATTTTGGCATTTTTTTGCAGTCCAC